TTCCTCTTGTGATTGAGTTCCAGTTTCAAAGCATTGTGGTCTGAAAATAGGCAGGGAATGATCCCAATCTTTTGGTACCGGTTGAGACCTGATTTATGACCTAGGATGTGATCTATTCTGGAGAATGTTCCATGGGCACTAGAGAAGAATGTGTATTCCGTTGCTTTGGGGTGGAATGTTCTGAATATGTCTGTGAAGTCCATTTGGTCCAGTGTGTCATTTAAAGTCTTTATTTCCTTGTTGATCTTTTGCTTAGACGATCTGTCCATTTCAGTGAGGGGGATGTTAAAGTCCCCCACTATTATTGTATTGTTGTTGATGTGTTTCTTTGCTTTTGTTATTAATTGCCTTATATAATTGGCTGCTCCCATGTTAGGGGCATAGATATTTACAATTGTTAGATCTTCTTGTTGGATAGATCCTTTAAGTATGATATAGTGTCCTTCCTCATCTCTTATTACAGTCTTTGGTTTAAAATCTAATTTGTCTGATATAAGGATTGCCACCCCAGCTTTCTTTTGGTGTCCATTAGCATGGTAAATGGTTTTCCACCCCTTCACTTTCAATCTGGGGGTGTCTTTGGGTCTAAAATGAGTCTCTTGCAGACAGCATATCGATGGATCTTGTTTTTTAATCCAGTCTGTTAGCCTGTGTCTTTTGATTGGGGCGTTTAGCCCATTTACATTCAGGGTAACTATTGAAAGATAGGAATTTAGTGCCATTGTATTGCCTGTAAGGTGACTGTTACCATATATTGTCTGTGTTCCTTTCTGGTCTATGTTGCTTTTAGGGTCTCTCTTTGCTTAGAGGACCCCTTTCAAGATTTCTTGTAGGGCTGGTTTTGTGTTTGCAAATTCCTTTAGTTTTTGTTTGTCCTGGAAGCTTTTTATCTCTCCTTCAGTTTTCAATGACAGCCTAGCTGGATAGAGTATTCTTGGCTGCATATTTTTCTCATTTAGTGCTCTGAATATATCCTGCCAGTCCTTTCTGGCCTGCCAGGTCTCTGTGGATAGGTCTGTTGCCAATCTAATGTTTCTACCATTGTAGGTTACATATCTCTTCTCCCGAGCTGCTTTCAGGATTTTCTCTTTGTCTATGAGACTCGTAAGTTTTACTATTAGATGTCAGGGAGTTGACCTATTTTTATTGATTTTGAGAGGCGTTCTCTGTGCTTCCTGGATTTTCATGCCTGTTTCTTTCCCCAAATTAGGGAAGTTCTCTGCTATAATTTGCTCCATTATACCTTCTGGCCCTCTCTCTCTTTCTTCTTCTTCTGGGATCCCAATTATTCTAATGTTGTTTCGTCTTATGGTATCGCTTATCTCTCGAATTCTGCCCTCGTGATCCAGTAGTTGTTTATCTCTCTTTTTCTGAGCTTCTTTATTTTCCATCATTTCATCTTCTATATTACTGATTCTCTCTTCTGCCTCATTTATTCTAGCAGTTAGCGCCCCCATTTTTGATTGCACCTCATTAATAGCCTTTTTGATTTCTACTTGGTTGGATTTTAGCTCTTTTACTTCTCCAGAAAGGGTTTCTCTAATAACTTCCATATTTTTTTCAAGCCCAGCTAGTATCTTTAAAGTGATGATTCTGAACTCTAGATCTGACATCGTACTAATGTCCGTATTGAGTAGGTCCCTGGCAGTCGGTATTACCTCTTGTTCTTTTTGTTGAGGTGATTTTCTCCGTCTTGTCATTTTGTACAGAGGAGAATAGATTAATGAGAGAACAAAATGGTAGCACAGTAACCACGTCCCCAGAAAATATACTCTAAACAAATCAGAAAAGACCTGAAGCAGTGGGATAAGAAAGGGAAAGAGAGAAAAAAGAAAAAAAAAAAAAGATAAAGATAAAAACAAAAACAAACAAAACAAAACAACAACAAAAGGAAAACCAGAATATGATCAAATATGATCTATATGGTATATAGATCAGTGCCACACACTAGATTTGGGGTGTATTTTGGTCTTTTAGAAGAAAGTGCCTCCCAAAATTTTAAAGAAAGAAAAACTTATATATGTACAAAAATAAGGGTTGATATGATGAAGGGATGGAATATGACTGTAAAAATGGAAATTATAAAAAATTTTATAAAAGGAATTGATAAGAAGTTGTTTGAAAAAAGAAAGAAGAGGATTTAAAAAAAGAAGAAAAAAGGGAGAGGATGTGATCAGGCAGGGGAATAGAAAGCACCATATACTAGAGATTTAGGGTATATTTTAATCTGTTAGAAGAAACTATCTCAAAATTTTAAAGAGAGAACAACTTATATATATAAGCCAAAAATATGGGTAACTACTATGAAGGGATAGAATATGACTCTAAAAATGAAAAATAAAAATGTTTTTTAAAAAAGGGATTGATAAGATGTTGGTTGAAAAAGGGAAAAAGAAAAATTCAAAAAAAAAAAAAGACAGTTAAAAAAAATTAACTTTGAAAGAGTAAAGGATCATGGTAAAAAAGCCATGAATTCTATGTGCAGTAGTCCCCTAGCGCTGGAGTTCTGCCGTTCTCATTGATCGGTAAACTTGGTCTTGGCTGGCTGTTCTCGCTGGTCTTCTGGGGAGGGGCCTGTTGCCGTGGTTTCCAAATGTCTCTGCCGGAGGCGGAAGTGCCCCGCCCTTGCCCCCTCCCGGCGAAGTAATCCGCTCGGTTTGCTCTCCGGGGCTTTTGTTCCCTGCGAGCTTTCCGTCCAGCTTTGGAGGCGGAGAGTGAATATGGCGGCCTCCCAATCTCCGCCCCGGAGGAGCCGAGAACCCGGGGCCCGCTCCTCAGTGAGCCCCCAGAGAAAAGCCGCCAGTCACTCCCGTCTCCCCGCTCTCCGGCCGCACCCCGTGCTCGCCGGGCCTGTGACTGCGCGTTTCTATCTCTGGCACCCGACCCCGGGCGGAGTCTCCAAACCCAGCAGATCCCTGCGGTGCCCTCCCGCGCGGCTCCTCCCGGGGGAGGAAGGTGAGTCTCCCCGGATCTGCCGCTTGTTGGGTCCCGGCCGGAGGAGCGGGGCCCCGACTGTGCCGCGGATCACGGTCAATGGCCACCCCGAGCTGAGCGCCCGCGCCTGGGCTCCGCCTCTGCAGCCGGCTTCCCCGCTCTGATACCTGGGAGCTCTGCCGCCCTCAGGCACCCCCGGTCTTTCTGTGACTCTGAGGGTCCTGAGACCACACTGTCCCTAGGGTTCCACCCCCCGCTCAGCCACCGGAGTGACGTCCCTCGGCGGAGCAGACTTCGAAAAGTTCCGATTTTGTGCTCCGCGGCTCTATCACTTTCCAGAAGCGGCCGACGGAGGCCCCTCCCCCGCCGTCTATCCTCCCGAATATCGCCTCGGATTCACTTCTCCGCACGTCCTACCTTCCAGAAAGTGGTCGCTTTTCTGATGAGAGAGTTGTTGCTCTTCTTTTCTTCGATCTCTTGTTGGGTTTGTAGGTGTTCAGAATGGTTTGATCCCTATCCAGCTGAATTCCTGAGAGGAGACGAAATCCAGGTCTCCTACTCCTCCGCCATCTTGCTCCGCCCCCCAAAGATAGCCTAATTTTAAAGATGGGCAAATATTTGAACAAACACTTCACCAAAGAAGATATATAGAAGGAAAATGCTCCAATAAAAAGATGGCTGATATCATGAGTAATCAGGAAAATAGCCCCAATGAAGTCCCTCTGCTCATTAAATAAAATGAATAACATTAACATGACTGAAAATATCAAGTTTGTGAGGATATGGAGACACTGGAACTCTTATGCATTGTTGGCGGGAATGTAAAATGCACGAGCACTTTTGGCTCTGTCTTATAAAATTAAAAATATATTTATTGTATGGTCCGGAATTTTTCTCCTAAGTATTTACCTGGGAGAAAAGAAAACATCTTTCCACATACAGACTGGTACATTACTATTCTTGGTAACTTTATTCATAACAGCCTACAATCTGAAACAGCCCCAATTTCCATCAAGCTGTGAATTGATAAATAAATTCTTGTGAAGGAACAACTAAAACTGCATCAGCATTGGTACAACTCACAACCATTACACTGAGGGAACGAAGACAGAAAAGAGTAAATCCTGAATGATTTCATTTATAGGAAATTCTCAGAAAGGTAAAATAAATTCGTAGTGACAGAAAGCAGACCTGTGGTTTCTTTTTTTTTTTTTTGATTTTATTCTTATGTTAATCCCATACATTACATCATTAGTTTTAGATGAAGTGTTCCATGATTCATTGTTTGTGCACAACACCCAGTGCTCCATGCAGAACGTGCCCTCCTCAATACCCACCACCAGGCTAACCCATCCTCCCACCCCCCTCCCCTCTAGAACCCTCTTTGTTTTTCAGAGTCCATCGTCTCTCATGGTTCGTCTACCCCTCCGATTTCCCCCGCTTCATTCTTCCCCTCCCGCTACCTTCTTCTTCTTCTTTTTTTTCTTAACATATATTGCATTATTTGTTTCAGAGGTACAGATCTGAGATTCAACAGTCTTGCACAATTCACAGCGCTCACCAGAGCACATACCCTCCCCAGTGTCCACCACCCAGTCACCCCATCCCTCCCAGCCCACCCCCCACTCCAACAACCGTCAGTTTGTTTCCTGCGATTAAGAATTCCTCATATCAGTGAGATCATATGATACATGTCTTTCTCTGTTTGACTTATTTCACTCAACATAATACCCTCCAGTTCCATCCACGTGCAGACCTGTGGTTTCTTGCAACCAGTGCTAAAGGCCATTGACTACAAAGGAGCATGGGAAGTTGGGGGTTGGCGGGTAATGAAAATGCTCTATACTTTGTGAGTGTGAGACAAGAATACATGCCTTTGTCAAACCCCTTGCAACTCTATACTTAACGGGGATATTTTTTATTGTTTCAAAATTACATTTCAAAAAAGTTAATGAAAAAGAGATGACTGAAATAAAAGGAAATGGTATTTTGAAAATGTGAGAACTTAGATAAAAAACAAATTTCAATGTTTAACTGACAATCTGTTTATACATTTTCATTCACAGACACTCATTAATCCCAATGAATTTTTAATGTATCTACAAATATTTGGAGCATCTTGTAAGGTGATGATTCTGATTCCGGAGTTCTGGGTGGAGACAAATTTTGAGTGGCAGTCATAGGGTGGTGAATTTATGACTAATCAACCCAGGCCAACTCACGTTAGTTTTATTTACAGATCTTAATAGAATATCCTTCAATGGTTCCATTTTTGTAACTTATTACACAAAATGACCTTGCATAACCATCTTTATCTGTTTCAAACTTCCTCCCTCTCCCAAGTAATTCTGTTGTCCAAGGGAAGGGTGTGCTATCCGGATAAGGTCCTCTTCTCTTCCTGGTGTAGAACCTCCAGGAATCTTGGGGAATGCCATTTGCTGGCCTGATGTGACTGTCAGTCATCCTGGTGTTAACATAGTCCCAATTTAAAAATGTCTCCCATGGGAAACACAAACACTCTCTTTCTCTGGCCACAATCCTATCATGGTTCTCCCAACACCGTGACCACTGTCTGCCTGCCTCCGTTGGAACTGCTAATTCTTCCCCATTGTGCCTAAATTCTGGAACCCCTCAGAGCTGGTCTCGTAGCTCTCTCATCATGCTAGAGTCATTCTCTCCTTGGCAAGCTCATTGAACCCCCTTTACCTAACCCGTCACTCACAGCTTTGACCCCAGCCCAGATCTCTAATTTCTAACATTACCTCCAGGGCTGATGCAAACTCCCTTCTCAGGGTTGCTCCTGGGAGCAGCATCACAGACTCAAACTTCACGTCTCCAAAGCTGAATTTGTGATATTCTTGAATGTGTACCCCCTTCCGTATTTCCTGCCTCCATAGATGGCAGCACCATGTACTCAGGTGCTCTGTCAGCAACCTAAAACCACAATTCGTCCCTCTCATGGCTTCAACCACAGATCAGTCCAGCACCAGAACCTTGTCAGTCGTGTGAACCGAACAGGCCTATGCTGGGAGATTTTGATATGTATCCTTAGACCAGATTACATCTAAGATGGGAGCCTCATTTAGCTAATCAGAGACCACCAGCAAATGAATTTAACTATTTATAAGTAGTTAAGTAGTATTTTTAAATAGTTGATAAGTAGTTTATTTTTTTGTGTTTTTTTTTAAGATTTTATTTATTTATTTGACAGAGACAGAGAAAGCAAGAGCAGGAACACAAGCAGCGGGAGCAGGAGAGGGAGAAGCAGGCTTCCCCCCGAGGAGGGAGCCCGATGTGGGACTCGATCCCAGGACCCTGGGATCATGACCTGAGCCGAAGGCAGACGCTTAACGACTGAGCCACCCAGGCGCCCCGATAAGTAGTTTTAAAATATGTAATTTAGTATGTTTATTCAGAGAATGACAAGGAATGCAAAATACATAATATCTATGAATGTAATAATAATATATATATTTATTATATACAAAGATACAGCACAAGTCTCTCCCCAAAGATGATGTATTTTATAGATATAAAATACTATATCTTATTTATGATTATATTCTCCATAAATATATAAAATAATATGTATTCTTATATACATATAAAATTGGTTTATTCTTTTAATTATAAGTAAATGATGCATTAGGGTCATTTTGGCATAGCACACATTCAAATATTTATTACCCATCCAAATATTTATGCATACATACATCAATATTATTACATTCATAAATATCATGTATTTTGTATTCCTTGTCATTCTGTGAATAAACATACCAAATCCATATTTTAAAATTACTTATCAAGTGATGTGGGGTTTGGCACAAATTAAACAATTATAATAAACAATTAAACAAGTTTGAATATATTTTTTCTTTCAAAAATAATTAAATTCAGGGCGCCTGGGTGGCTCAGTCGGTTAAGGGTCTGCTGCCTTCAGCTCAGGTCATGATGTTCGGGTCCGGGGATCGAGCCCCATGTCGGGCTCCCTGCTCAGTGGAGAGTCTGCTTCTCCTTCTGTCCCTCCCCCACTCATACTCTCTCTCTCTCTCTCTCTTTTGGTCTCTCAAATAAATAAAATCTTTAAAAAAAATAGTTAATTTGCTGATAGTCTCTGATTAGCCAAATGAGGCTCCTGTCTGAGATGTAATTTGATTTACGCTCCCATACATCATTAATCTCTATATTGTTTACTGCAGCGCTAATGCCTTGATTACACTTAGTTCTTCCCTTCACATATTTCTACCAGGTGTGTGATGAACATCAGTGTTGTTAATCAAAGCAGCAAACTGATCACTCATGTTTGGAATTATCCGTATCCCTTGGTCCAGATGATGCATATAGCATGACACAGAACTATTACAAATGAAAATTTTGTTTGAATATTTCCTTACATAAGCCATATTTTCTTAAGCCTCAAGTTGAAATGCCACTTTGTATCTTTGCTGTTTTTTAATCAGAGCAAAGCTCAGTCCCAGCTATGGATTTCGGGCCTCTTCCCTTCTGCCTACTGGTGTGGGCAGGCGCTGGTGGATGTTCCGATGTACTGCTTGATCTTCCTTCTTATGTATTTGATGGACTACGGTTTAAATGCCCAAGACACTCTATTTACAGTTGTAAATCAGATTATACAAGTAAGTGACCATCTTCACAGAACAAATACCTGTATGATTTAATGGAAACATGTTTGCGGTGATACCTACATTGTCATAAATGAAATAACTGTAGAACCCTGTGCTCTAACAATCTTTTGGACCCCAACGTTTTCTTGGAGTGCATTTGTCTTTAACTAAACATTCCTGTTGATTTCAGATCCTGTGTGCGGTTGGCTATGCCGCCTCCCTTATCTTCTTGACATATGTGATTTCATTCATTTTTCGCAAGGGGAAAAGAAATAGTGGCATTTGGTCTTTTTGCTTCTGTATGGTAAGTATATTTCTTGTGAACATTCACTTTATGCATTTATATACACAATTCTGAGCCAGTACTTTAAAATGTGCCCTCAGTAGAATGAAAAATTAGTATTACAGTCTAAAGTATTTTGTTTTCCTTAGGTAGGATCCTTTTCAAAATCTGCATCTTTTTCCTCTTCCTAATTTCTACCCTTGTCTCTTTTAAAAGTCGCTAAATTGTTTCTAGAACCATAAAGTATTTGCTAGAAGGAAACCTGGAAGCCATTTGTGTCTTCTTTTTACTGAAAAAGAAATAAGCACAAAGACCTCCACAAAGATAATACAGGATAACAAATATTGTTGCTAACATAGTTAAAACTAGAAACTACTTCTCCATACTCTACTAGAATTAATTCCATAAAAGCAACACTTATTTTATCTAAATGAGGAAGGAAAAATATGTGTTATCTCCTAGTATCTATTCTGATTCCCTGTCATTTCAACTGCCAAAGGGTAAATTATCATTTCAACAAATATTAGTTGGCTTCCAACAATGTGTCACAAACGAAGATCGATAATGCAGAAAAAATAAGACCATTTCAACCCTGAGAGGGCATTCAGAGGGTAAACAGAGAAGTAAATAGCCACTTACTAAAGCAAAGTGATAAGGAAAAGATTATCTCCTCTTAAAAGATTGTTTCTATGACAACCAGAGAAGGGAAAGATTAACTCATGAAAATGAGAGCACAGATTTCCTTGAGGAACTGAAACCTGAAGAGTAAGATTTTAGTAGCTGGAGAAGACTGATGAGTCAGAGAATGAACAGAAACTCAGGCGAGAAAGTCCAGGCTTATCCTGGGAACTGGTAATAATCTGGCATGGATAAGGGAAGAGAACAAAGTGCAGCGTGGGCGTGGCCCTAGTTATAAAAATATTGGTTGCAACTACATTGGCCTTTAATCATGCACTCAAGAATTTATTCTACAGGCTGTGGGAAGCCGTGGAAGCTTAGAGGGCAGAACAGAAATTCGATCAGAAATATACTTTTAGGGGCGCCTGGGTGGCTCAGTTGATTAAGCAGCGGACTCTTTGATTGTAGCTCAGGTCATGATCTCAGAGTCTTGAGATCAAGCCCCACATCGGGCTCCATGCTCAGTGGGGAGGCTGCTTGAGATTCTCCTTCTCTCTATGCCCCACCCCCTGCTCGCTTGCTCTCTCTCTCTCTCTCAAATAAATAAATAAATCTTTAAAAAAAAAGAAAGAAATATACTTTTAGGGAGAATATGCTGAATGCCATAAAAATGGTAATTTGTAACAGAAAGAAGTACAAAAACTGTTAGGAAGCTTTTATCATTGCAGTGTTTTAGAAGAAAAAGCCGAGAAAAAGGGGATACCAATACCCTTGTCCCTGTAACTATCTCTTATTCCTGAATTTTGAATTTGAGTACTTCCACTGAAGCCACTCCGGGTTGCTCCATGCTTCTCTTTCCCCACTGGTGTCCCTAACAGAAGTCTTCTCTGTTGCCGTTGCATGATTTCCAGGAGATATCAATTTGTGTTCCCTCTGATTATTGCTTATCTACTAATTTTACCTCTAAAGCCAATATAATGCCAACTTTCTTCCCTTTCTGTAATGAAAGTAAGTTATCTGTTAGATCCTAGATTTGTCCAGTCATGTCTCATTCATGACACTCCCAGTTAAAGGAATCTGGCTAAGTCCCTGAGAGAACATGTCGATGGAGATACACTGAATCCCTTGCGTTTCTGAGGTGGGAGTTGAAATTAGGAATATCCTCAAGATGAGCCATAACCACTCTGGAAATGCAGAGTGGTTAACGTGCATGTTCATATCTTCTTTAGACCACCATCTTCTCTGTGTTTATATTGCTGTTTGAGCGCTATGGACATGTCACGCTGTACTGTGTCACCTTTTTAGTACCACATGCCACGTTAATTGGCTGTATGTTCTTATATTTTCAGGTAAGTAATGCTGCTGTCTGCCCCAGTGTCCTGGGAACTCTTAACCAGTTGCGGAAGCGATGCCTGGGGGGCTCTCCTCCGTGCTGAATATACATGGCATTTAAAGATCTCTACCTCATGGATTCCAGCTGAATTCCTTCCAGGTAGGGCAGTGTGCTACAGCTGAATCATGTTAGAAAACCTGGCCCTGGTCCATGTGTGGGGAGACAGGGTAATAGGTGGTGAGAAATAGAGCAGCAAATAGGCAAATGAAATACCCCTAATCTTTGGGATCTCAAGATTCTAGAGAGGCATTCAATAGGAATAAAATCTCCACCCCCCCCTTTTTTTTCTAGATAGAAAAGCATCAACTTCTACAACTATATAGATATAGATGTAGAAGTATCAACTTCTACAAATGTATAGATATAGATGTAGAAGTATCAACTTCTACAAATATATAGATATAGATGTAGAAGTATGGACTTCTACGAAAGGAACAAAGATAGAGTACGTGAGTGAAGATGGGGAAAGGGAGGGGAAAAAAAGGAAGGGGTCTTCTGAAGGATCAATGGGCATAGGAAGGTATATGAAGCTCTGGGGGATAAGGAGAAAACACTGTTTCTCTCTCATTATTTGGGGAGGCTAACACAGATACCCAAGATTGTATCACCAGGTAAGGAGTAACGGCTAAACCTTTTATTTGTGCCTCAAATAAAAGCACAGTGCCTCATAGACCTTGGGAGGAAGGAATACCACCTCTTGCTACACATTTTGGAATAGACATCTACCAATACCCATGGTGAAATCAGGGCATGTGTTAGTAGGACCGTTCAGTGGGTCGGTTCACAATTATAGAGATAAAATCCATGAAACCAAAAAACTTCCTATTTAACCATTGTTCTTTTCCTTTTGCAGGTGTTCATATTTTATTTCCAGAATGAAGAATCAGGAAGTATAGAGCTATTTCTGGTATTCTTAATTGTAAGAACACACTTGTCTTTAACAATCTTCGTGTCTTTTACTATACTGAAACTTTTTAATTCCTGTACACACAGTGAAACTTTTTTTTTATTAAGGTAAGCATATGGATATTTGTAGCCCATGGAGATAAAGTATTTGTAAAATACAGAACAAATTTTTCTCTAAAGATTGACTGACCAGATAATATGCTTCCCAAATTTTGAAAACACTGTACCAGTATTAGCACAAGTGACATAAAGTAATGGTATTCCATAATTATATTTGTTTCCAATGCTCTGTAAACAAGGTTGAAAGTGAATTTGATAGTTTCACAAATTTAAAATAGATCATTGGAAAGTCGTAATGGTTTTTCCAACTGTATCTTTGGAGAAGTCCAACTACTTCTAATTCACTTCTGATGTGAAACATTTTTCTTGGAGTGTTTCTAATCACGCATCTCTCTCTCTCTCTCTTCCTAGCCTTTCCTTCATTTTATCATCTTCCTTTTTATTCTTCGATGTCTGGAATGGAAGTTTGGAAAGAAACCAATGAGGAAGGATCCCTTCTTTAGGTTGGGAGAGATCAAATTGGCTTCTTTTATTTCAGTCATTAACACTTAAAATTTTTTTCCTGCATAAATTAACAGTCAGTAAAGAACTGCCAAGTCTGAGGTAACAACCATATGCCAATACAAAAAATAGAGATCTAGGTACCTAAATCAAAGAGGATTTTAAGTAGAGAGGGAAACAGACCTGAAACATTGATTATTAAGGGCTCTGACACCATGTGCAGTAAAAGGGTGGGAAAAGCTACATGCCGCTACTTCAATTTAAATAGCAATCCATTTAAATAGATTCGTAGTTGAAGGAATGCTGCCAATCCAGGAAGGAAGGATGGAATGATCAATAGGCCAAAGACAGCAGTAATTGTCCCCTTTTTTCTGTGGTAGTAAGAAGCCCAACTGGTGGATCACAGATTGGTCCAGTTATTAATGGGACTTAAAAGCTCAGACTGTCTTTTTACACCGTGCAAGGACACGGCCATAAGCATCTTATTCCCTCTGTGTCTCCCATTGGTTTCATCTTTACCTATTACAGACAGTTGAGTGGGCAACTTGCAAGATGACCTTTACCTATTTATCTATTCATCTTTAACTATTATAGACAGTTGAGGGGGCAAGGAGAAAGATGACCTTTAAGAAATCTAAGATCAATATGGGGGATTAGATTGAGTAAGAGAGAACAGAATGACCTATATATGGGTATGAAGGACCAGACTTAAAGTGGAGGAGAAAGTGAATCTGACACACATTCCCAAGAAATGGCCAGGTTTCCGAGGAGATCAAGCATCTAACTTGTATTTTCTGAGACCATCCTGACTTCAAATGCTCTGACTCATTATCCCCATGGGAATGTAATACTGCCAACATGGCAGTGGTATTAAAGCTAAGGTTTCCCGAAAGATTACATCATTAAACTATGCTATTAAAATCTTCTGTTAGATAATAGATACTAAGCTGCCCAGTGATAATGGAAAAAGAATCTTCCACAGATAAGTAGGATGAAAGGTATGTACGAAGCAAGGGTCACTAAATATAGCAGTACCCTTGATAGGAACTAGGTTGGGAAGGGAGGAAGAGTCACCTCACTGAAAGGAGGTTATGATAGTTTATTAATTACCCAACCTACTCAAAGCATAAGATTTAAAGAATGCACTATTCTTAATACAAGGATGAAAACCCCGTATCAACGATTCATGGATGGCTCTTGACTCTAGAATTTCTCCAAGAAGCAACGATGTTTATCAAAATCCAGAAGCACCAGAAGGGGAGGATGAAGATGTTCAACTGGAAAGAATGAGAACAGCAGATGCCTTGAATTCCACAAACTTTGATGAGGTAACACCTATGCAGTACTCACTTCATCAAATAACACAAACGTTGGTCAGTTAACGTAGTCAGTCTATGAGTCTGAGCCTCAAATAATCCTGTCCATACAAGCACAGATCATGACTTCCTTTTAGTAAGTAATCATCTTGTTGACATTGAAACAAACAGATTAAAAGTCACGTCAGCTCAGTTTGTTGTCCTTGGAGTAAAAACCAAAAAATGGAGTACAACTGAAGTTGCAAAAGCCAAGAAAGAACTTTATTTTATTTTTTAAAGATTTTATTTATTTATTAGACAGAGAGAGAGCACGAGCAGAGGGAGCGGCAGAGGGAGAGGGAGAAGCAGGCTCCCCGTGGAGCAAGGAACCCGATGCGGGACTCAATCCCAGGACCCTGAGATCATGACCTGAGCTGAAGGCAGACGCTTCACTGACTGAGCCAGCCAGGCGCCCCAGAACTTGTGAATTTTAGAATGGGAAAAAAGCGACACATTAGCACTACTCCTTGGAGAATGGCACTGTACGGACTGCAGGGAAAAGTCTGGTCGCAGCCCGTTGTCTTGTCCTTAGAGCAGGACTCAGTACTTCTCCAAGTCTCTTTGCTCCTGTTCTGCAGAGAATAATGTGCTTCTGAGTAACTGCCTTGGTAGGAGGGGGAAACGACCATCTCTTCTCTCCAAGACTGAGGACCAGGATTGGAGAATGGCCAGGAAAGGTGTCCCCTCATGGAAGGTCTCCTGTGATGGCATGGCTTGTGTTGTGAGGGGCCACACCAATGGGAGGACAGAGGTTCAAAGTTCATGGAGAGAATTAAGGTCTGATGTGATTTACCTACAGAGACCGGTCATTATCTCCAGCTGCCTGCGCAAAGAGTATGCAGGGAAAAGGAAATGCTGCTTTTCCAAGAGGAAGAAGAAAATCGCCACAAGAAATGTCTCTTTCTGTGTTAGAAAAGGTTTGACCCCTATGGCCCTTCCCCTGGTGGCCTGGGGCCCTCGTAAGCTTTATTATGTCTTGATGAGAATCGTTCTGTACATCGCCTCTTGGTTTCCTACACAGACACATCAGCAGGTGACCTTGACAGCACCTTCGACATGTCCCATTTCTAAGTTGAATTAATCAACATCTACATGGAAACCATAAGCACTCTATTAAAACAAACCACTGAAGCCATGACGTATCTATTTCGTGAGCATGATTGATTTCCTAGTGTTTGTTCTATTTCATAAGAGAACGAACTGGGGTTGTGCCCAGTGCAGTCTGAAGGCTTGACCAGCAGCTGTTGAGATGACCTCATTTTGTGTACTGACCACAGTACTTAGGGTCACAGGAGACAGAGTCTGACACACTGGCTTCCAAGAGGGGCTTTACCCCTTCCCATAGGTGTGACCGTGGGCAGCTAACCTCATCTCTGAGAGCCGTCCCCAAATATGTACACAGGGATTATGACAACAACCTCTCAGGCTTGACGAGTAGATGAGACACCGTATATAAAGCACAGAGCACAACACTTGTCACATAGCAAGACTTCAGACTATGTTTTATTCTTAATTTTACTATTAAAGTCAATTCATATTAAGTGCAACCAATTTTTTTTTCAGGTGAGGTTTTAGGATTATTAGGACACAATGGAGCTGGGAAAAGCACATCCATTAAGGTGGTAACTGGAGACACGAAACTGACTGCCAGACAGGTAGATGAATTGTGCGGAGAATGTGCTATCTCGTGGTGCTCAGAATAAACTTGTAAGATGTGAAAGCTTTGTAAAGAGCAAATCTCATTTAGTCATTAGATGACAGAAGTAGTTAAAGTTGCAGACTAACATCTTCACAAAGTTAACATGTTCATACATGGAAAAATTAATCACTGGCAGGGAATAATTACTTATGCCTTCAATGACATCTAGAGGGAATATCCAGTATCTGATCAGAAATCAACATCAGAATCTATACAGGCCTTAGTTATCATACCATAAAACACATGGAGTTGCACTTTTTTTTTCTTGGCAACCATCTGTTTCCATGTATTAACAGTGAGTGCAGTGTAACACATTACATTTTTGGTTTTGATTTTTTTTTTGAAGATTTTATTTATTTATTTGAGAGAGAGAGACAGAGCACAAGCAGGGAGAGGGGCAGATGGAGAAAGAGAAGCAGACTCCCCACTGAGCAGGGAGCCCGACGCGGGACTCGATCCCAGGACCCTGGGATCATGACCTGAGCCGAAGGCAGACGCTTAACCAACTGAGCCACCCAGGTGTCCCCTTGATTTTTTTTTTAATGGAAGTATAGTTGACATACAGGATTTGTACTTTCAATGGGCATTGTCTTCCCAGTATGTAATGCTTTAATCTTGAATTAAAATTAAAAAAAAAAAAACCTTTATTAAGCCATTATATTCATTGTCCTCCACAAAGTGCTTGGATCCTGAGACATATATTTTTGTAGAAATACACTATTTCTTGGGAGTGTTTTCAAAGAATGATTCAAAATTGAGCAACAGGGATACGAAGTGAACTTGAGTCCTACATGCAGTTGAACCATATAAGATGGTCAGACACCAGAAAAAGAGCTGAGATTTAGTAAAGAGGGAGACAACACAATATAGAGAACATATTTCCCCCCAAATTCTATGGCAGAAAATAGACCGCTTTAAGAGCTCCTTTGGAAAGGATGTCCAGGGATTTTAGAGAACAGAATATAAGGCAGAGAGAGGTCTGTGGCACCACACCAGGGGAGAGGGGGTGGTGCTCAAGCCCAGAAGGGAAAAGACCTCCAGGAATGTGATTGATAAATATGCCACCAAAGACGGAGGAGAAAATAAATATTCATAATCCCTCCAAAGCCGAGAGGAGAGCACGTGATGGTGAACGGGGCTGCTCAGGGATGTTGGTGGCTCGCTCAACCCTAACTGGACTCCTTAGCTTAGTGGGGACTACACTCCAATTGAGTCACCATCTGGACCCTAAATCATTATTTCATTTCTCATTAAGCATGGGCAAAAAAGGAGGTAGTAACTGTTCACAGATATATGATAATGAACTATTTAAAAGGTAAGTAAGATCTGAGTTAACAAAGCGAACTCTTTGGGTGTCATGAAATTAGCTTTAATCAGATCAGCCAGTGTGATCTTTATAAACAATACCATCGTCCTACTTCAATATTTTCAACAACCTCTTACTGCACTAAGGCTGAAGGACCCCCCCTCCCCACATCCCTCTGGCTCGTCTGGAGGGGCCGATTATCATATCCCTTCCTCACTCTGCACAAGGCCCCCAGCTTTGCCTCGGGTCTAAAAACAGATCGAGCTTCATCAGGGCACAGCGCTTTGCTCTGTTCCAAATTCCTTTCGTCTGGGCTTTTCCATGGCAGGTGCCCTGTCCCTCTTCTGCCCCAGTGGTCCCTCAGCAGACAGGGCCCTCTCTAATCATCCTACCTAGTGATGTTAGTTAGTCCCCGCCCCCAGCATCCTGACTACTTCCATTACAACACCACTTAGGAGCTGTCTGTATTCCAGCCGCTCATTTTTCTACTTGTTTATTGCCCAATTTGCTCAGCAGAATGAAAACGCAAGTAACAAGGGTGCTGGCTATTCCATTCCCCACTGTATCCAAAGCAGATAGCACAACATTTGTTATGTGCTCAAAAGAAACGCGCTCACTGGGTGTGTTCAATAGTGAGGAATTCCGTTCATAAATTCATATACTTGTTTCCTGATTGTGATAAAAAAAAAAATGGATATAACCGGTTGGCCATGATGGCAAGACATATTTGCGAGATATTTGATTTTTCAGCTTAGATTAGGGGGTGCACACACTTGTTTTCATGTGTTTACTCTCTGACAACCTCTCTCCAACACAGAATGATTATAGATTATTCAGCCCAATTAGGACTTAGAGAGTTTCTAGTTTTTCTAGGTTTGTAAGGAGAAAGAGGCCATTGTGGGGTGCCTGGGTGGCTCAGTCGTTAAGTGTCTGCCTTCAGCTCAGGTCATGATCCCGGGGTCCTGGGATCGAGCCCCACATCGGGCTCACTGCTCCGTGGGAAGCTTGCTTCTCTCTCTCCCACTCCCCCTGCTTGTGTTCCCTCTCTCGCTGTGTCTCTCTCTGTCAAATAAATAAAATCTTAAAAAAAAAAAAAAGAAGAAGAAGCCATTGAGAAATGCAGGAAAGACAAACCCAGAAGGTAGGCTCTGAGAGTGAACTTTTCTCTGCAGGTCCTACTTAAAGGGAGCAGCGGGGAGGGCTCCTTGGGCTTCCTAGGGCACTGTCCCCAGGAGAACGTGCTGTGGCCCAATCTGACCATGAAGGAGCACCTGGAGGTGTTTGCTGCCATTAAAGGGCTGAGGAAAGCGGACGCAGCCATCACCATCTTGAGGTGGGTGGGAGCCACACCTGTTCTATACCTGTGGGGGCAGGAGACGGTTGGGAGTGAGGAGCTTCACTGTCAGTTCAGGACAGGAGACTGAACCCTGACCCAGATCACACTGGGTAGATTCCCCTCTAGAAACTGGTTTCCCAGATTTCAAAGTGTTAATTTTCTTCTCATAGTAAATTTAAAAATAGTAACCATTGGTGAAAGTTATCAAAAATACTAAAATTTAAGTATAAAGTCTTTCTCATAGACCAACTATTTAAAAATCATGAAATGGGCTTATATTCTTTTAAAAGGGAAAACTATCTGGAGGAATCAAACCAGCCAGTTTAAGATTGCCTGGCCTGAGGCCCCTAGGTGGCTCAGTCAGTTAAGCGTCTGCCTTCAGCTTAGGTCATGATCTGGGGTCCTGAGATCAAGCCCCGGGTTGGGCTCCCTGCTCAGTGGGCAGTCAGCTTTTCCCTCTCTCTCTGCCCCTCCCCCCCAATAAATAAATAAACTCTTTTAAAAAAAATTGCCTGGCATCTATTTTCTGAACTGCATTTCTGAGCTCTGCTCCCCATTCCTGTGCTGGGTGGCCCATCCTCCTACCAACTTCCTTACTGCGATGCTCCATTGTGTTTGCTCCAGATTGGTGGATGCGCTCAAGCTGCAGGACCAGCTGAAGCTGCCCGTGAAGGCCTTATCCGAGGGAATAAAGAGGAAGGTAAGGGGGGGGGGCGCTCAGTGTTACTCTGCGCACCCCACACGTCGGTGCCAGACATGCTGTTCTCCCGTTCCAGGTGTGCTTCGCGCTGAGCATCCTGGGAAACCCATCGGTGGTGCTTCTGGACGAGCCGTCCACGGGGGTGGACCCCGAGGGGCAGGCAGCAGATGTGGTGAGGGACGCTACCCAGTCACGGACGGCCCCAAAGCCTTGCAGGAAATTTGTGAATTGTTTTACTTGTGTAAAAATGGTCCCTTAAACTGTTTCTTAATGGGGGGGGGGACACCTCTCAATATCATTAGTAACACCAAAATTTTGCGAAACAAACACCAACCCTCTCCCTGATAATATTTCATCATTGAAGAAAAAATAAGCATTGGCAGGACCCAGACACACTCACTGTAAGTAGTACCATTGGCCCAGTGATCTTTTAGGTAGGGGTGGTGCATCCCTGGGCCACGGGGACCGTGGCCAGTGCTGGGGGAGGGGGGAATGGTAATTCCCATTAGGTTGTAAAGGTGGGGGCGGGTTCCGGATGTTATCTTGAATATTTATTCTGCATTTATTTTCTCCTGCTAGGTTGTGACCCCCCCTCTTGTTGAATTCTGTCTCTGGCACAGCCCTTTCATGAACAATCTCTTGCTCAGCATTTCTCTCTCGACACAAGCTCGGGATAAACTCTGTGTTCCCGGACAGCTCCTCTTCTAGTGCCTGCCTCCGCCTCACGCCCTCACCTGGCTCGCCCTTCCTCCTCCCACCTGCCCTCTCAAGGGTCCTCCCTTGCTTGAGCTCCTTTTGCTAATTACTCACAGGCATGCCGGTTAAAAACTCTTTTCCCCGCCCATCTATGATTAATTCGAAATCTTTCTTCACTGCAAATGGTCTTTTGACGATTTAGGCAGGTGATCCGGGCCACCTTCAAAGACACAGAGAGGGGCGCCCTCCTGACGACCCACTACATGGCAGAGGCTGAGGCCGTGTGTGATCGCGTGGCCATCATGGTGTCCGGGAAGCTGAGGTGGGTGCCCGTCCCCGCCCACACTCCCCCCCCGCCGGCAACAGGTGCATGGCTGGAGGAGTTTGTCCGCGCACAGCACGACTATAGCTACTGCATCTGGGTCTAACAGTGACACCCTGGAGACAACTGGCATCTATTTTCTGTAACTGTAAACATGCATCAGCAGCAAATCAGGAGTCTCAAACATTGTGTGCCCGGTCTCTTTCCCCTTTCTGTGACGACCTCATCCTCCTCTGACCTCCAGATGTATCGGTTCCATCCAACACCTGAAGAGTAAATTTGGTAAGAATTATCTGCTGGAGATGAAGGTGAAGACCCCGGAGCAGAGGGAAAGCCTCCATCGTGAAATTCTGAGGGTTTTCCCCCAGGCTGCCCTGCAGGAAAGGTAAAGTTGGCTGCTGAGTTTGATCTGATACCAAATGTCAGCTTTTCCTTGCTGGTCTCATTCATTTGTTGTCATTAGAGTCCACATTTAGCCCAAAAGGAAACCTAAAAGAAAGTATCTGTTGGACAGTGCAGAAACTAAATTAGAGAAGAGGAGAGCTGGATGGAAAATCGGAGGTAGCATGTGTTGCAGTCTTACTAGCTGCAAGATACCGTCCTGGTCTCGTGCTGTCGTATTTAATCCGCACTGAAACTTTCCAAGGTAGACACTGTTTCTCCAGTGAAAAATGAGATGATTTCAAAAAAGCATTGTGAGCGTCTGGCCACTACAAGGACCTTAATAAATGGAATTGATTGTTATCTTTAAGCATAGGAAACTGAGAAGTTAAGTCACACGACAGCTAAAAGGGGGCATAGGTAGAATAGAAAGCTAATTATTTTCTTTCAAATCTATTAACACTTCCAATTTTATGCACAGTCTGGTCATGGAACAGTTCTCAGGAAAATCATACAGTAGAAATCAAAGATTAATGTTAGAGTCATTTTTAACACCTCAAATTTACTGCAGAAGACAGATGATTTAGGAGTTAGGGGGGAAAACAGATAGAAAAGAGTAATAATAAGTCATAACAATATGGTGGGAAAATATATTTCTACACTGGAGTATAAATGTCAAAGCAAATGCTGTACCTCAATGTGCAGCCCACGACCAAATGGAAATAGGTCATAAAGGCACAGGGAATGAGCAGAATAGATGAGAATGATCACCCCATAAATAGAGGAAACAGTATCTTATGAAATGAAATCAAAATCTTCCTGATTTTCAAATGATGAAAAGACAAACGTTAATCTGGGAAACAAATTATTAAAAAAAAAAAAAAAACTGTTCCCGAACATTATTTGGTGCTGAATTCCTGGCGATTTCCAGTCTCCTCATCAGAGACTCAATGATAACCTAAATTAGAAAAGTAGTTTGGCAATGAATCATGGAACACTGCATCAAAAACTAATGATGTAATGGATGGTGATTAACATAACATAATAAAAAGAAAAAAGTAGTTTGGGTAACATGGGGCAAGGTTGGAGAGATAAGAGTTCTCTAGAGAAAAGACCTAGACCCCCACCTGAGTTGAGTGACTTTAAGAAACTATGTAGCATCAGTCCCTGGTGGAAGATGAAGCTCGAGAAGCAAGTGTTCAGCTGAAAAGATAAGGTGGCAGGCAACTTTGGAAATGTCCACGTTTCAACTGCCCCATACCCGCTCCTCTCCATCCCGAGCCTCTCCCCTCACCGGGTTCTCCTTGTGAACAGCCTCACCCTAGGCATTTCGCCTGCCCCACACTGACTCTTATTTATCAGGGTAACGACCAGAGACAGGGTCGCAGCCAGCTTGCCCCTGCAAGTGATATCAGCCTCAGCCCCGCCTCTGTCCCTGCAGGTACTCTTCTGTGATGGTCTATAAACTGCCAGTGGAAAATGTGCGACCTTTAGCGCGGTATGCTGACTTCTGAGACTGTCTGGGTATAAAAATAGATGAACTCCTAACGTCCATCCGTCCGTCCTTCTGCAGTTAAACAGAGCTTCGACCTGGAGGAGTACAGCCTCTCCCAGTCCACCCTGGAGCAGGTGGGTCAGTGTGCGTGACTCGGTTCATTCATGCACTATAAATGTACAACGTGAGCGGACGCTTTGCACTCACTTGGAGCTACGGAGGCAGCGTGGCCTCTCTCCCTCTTTATTTCTTGTCCGTCTCAGGTTTTCCTGGAGCTCTCCAAGGAACAGGAGCTGGATGACTTTGAGGAAGAACTTGACCCTTCAGTGAGGAGGAAACTCCTCCCACAGGAAGACCCTTAAAGCCCAAATACCCTATGTTTCCATTCAAGCATGTGGTTATTTTTTAAGACATTGATTTTTATAGCATCAATGTCATATTTTTAGCAACTGTATTATAAACACCGACATGGTTCTTCCTGTGGTGGAGAGGAGCGGGGAGCAATGCCTGAGCAGTCCCAGCTACCGCGTGGACAGAGGCCCGTGGCTGAGCCCTCCTCCCAGTCACTGCCTCTGTGTCTCTGCAGGTCACCCTGATTCCACTTTTCTGTACAATACTGAATAAATAAATTTACTTTTATGAGGTCGTTTCATTTTTTTTTTTGAGTACCATAAGCACATTTTGTCTAATTTATCAAAACCTTAAAAAATACTTTTTTCTAACCTAGGCTGGGAAGTCCGTACATTTATTCTTCTACAAGTTTGATACTTTGTGAAGATGGTATTTTAGTAAGAACTTTAAGTGATCATGTCAAAAGCATCATACTTTTTAAAATAGATTTTCGTGTATATTCTTACGGCTTAAAAATATTAAACCATCATTGGCCATAATATCTGATATCAATATATTTGAAAACGTATCTGCTGGTAACAATCAATAGTATAGACATAGTCTGATACTTGCTATTAGGAATTTATTGTACTTTTTGAATTTCTGTGAATCAGTGAAGTCCCACTTTCATTATATTTTAAAATCAAGGCTTTAGAGTTGCCTGTTTTTGTAACCGACCTTTTGTGGATATTTGCCACTTGGTCTAAGAATATTGATCCATGTAGGAAGAAGTCAAATGACCAAGTTGGTGGGAAATACAAATCTTGTATGTGCAGTTTTGAAATACATTCTCTATTTCAAGTATTTTCACATGTCTTTTTCTCGACTAAGTGGCCTCCCTATTTACAAATTCATTGAAATCAAATTGAAAAAAGTTCTGATATAAGAGCTAGTTTACTGCTTTCATCAACATGTTACCAAATGTAAAGAAAGAAAAAACACCACACCATGATTAAGGAAGTTAAAGGTGGTGGCAAACAGAGACTTTTCCTAGAATAGTGTTGTTGTTGTTGTTGTTTTAAATACTGGCTGTGATTACCTTGCATAAAATGTAGTTAAACAAGATTTTCTGAGTTGTGAAGATGATTCTCTGAGCAGATTTTGCCTCCAGTTCTGACTTTGCATGTCCTTTCTTCCCTTTGGAATCCCTGACCCTCTCAGACTCAGATAATTTTGAGCAGCTCAGAAAATTCTGTTCTGGAGAGCACGCCTCCCACGCTCTCTTCCCAAGGTCCATTTGCTCATCTTGCGCTGGTGTGTGGTATGTGCCGGCAGGCTGGTTTGTGCAAGCGCACCCTGATTGCCCCTTTAATCTCTCTTGAGAAGGTAGGGATCCTGTCCTCCCTCTGTATTCCTACCAAGCAGAATATGCCAAAGGACATGCTGTTCAGTGTTCAAGGTCAGGGCTCCAGGGGTGGCCAACCTGGAGGGGCTCCTTTGTAACGAAGACTATCCAGATAGCAGGCTTTGCTCTCCTGGGAGCGCTGCTCGGGCAAGAAGGGGAGAAGCTACGAGTGAGCAGTTGCGAAGCGAGTTACCATGCTATGCAACCTCACTGCAGATGGGTCCCCGCAGCGGATGCTTTGTCCCAGTCGCCGCTCCTGGACACCCAGTGCATAAGGTCCCCCCAGTAAACCTACATCTCCATCGCCATCTTGGGTCATCTCTTCAGTCTTTCTGGGCCATCACCCACCCTCGGCTTAGAGTCTGCGTGGTTGGGGGACACAGCTAAGGACGAAAACATGAGCAAAACTCAGTTCCTGCCTTCAGCAACTGATGCTATGTGGCACAGTGGTTTAGAGGTCGACCTAAATTCAGTCTGGGGTCTACCATTTACTACTTGTGCACCCCTAGTTTACTGTCTTCAGCACGGAGCCTACTAGTACCCACCTTGGAGGGTTACCGCGGCCACCCAAAGCGACAAATGCAGTAACAGCGTCAGCTGCTGTTCAGCTGTTAACCAGCGTCCAGTGACTCCAAGAAGTGCTCCCCTGCCCCAGATGGCTCCCTCTCTCTCCCATAGGCCCTCAGTTCTCAAGGATGCATCGACATGGACCTGTTTCACCACATTTCCTAAGGGCCAGCCAAGGTATCTGTAAATAACAACACCAAACAGACTTATTTTCAGACACAAGCCATGTCTCCTTGACGTCCTACAGCTGGTTGAAAAATAAAGATCTGGGGGTGCCTGGGTGGCTCAGTTGTTGGGTGACTGCCTTCGGCTCAGGTCATGATCCTGGAGTCCTGGGATCGAGTCCTACATGGGGCTCCCTGCTCGGTGGGGAGTCTGCTTCTCCCTCTCCCGCTCCTCCCTCTTGTGCTCTCTCTCTCTCTCACTCTCTCTCTCAAATAAATAAAATCTTTAAATAAATAAATAAATAAATAAATAAATAAATAAATAAATAAATAAATAAATAAATGAAGGGCACCTGGGTGGCTCAGTCGGTTAAGCGACTGCCTTCGGCTCAGGTCATGATCCTGGAGTCCCTGGATCGAGTCCCGTGTCGGGCTCCCTGCTCGGCGGGGAGTCTGCTTCTCCCTCTGACCCTCCCCCCTCTCATGTGCTCTCTCTCTCATTCTCTCTCTCTCAAATAAATAAATAAAATCTTAAAGAAAAAGAAAGATCTGGATCCATTAGCAGAGGTATTGTTTCTACCAAGCCAATCAATTTGCTTTAATTGAATGTTTCCCTTGAATACTATTTTGTCCATCTCTACACAACCAAAGGAAAGACAAAACAAACAAGCAAGCTAAGTCATAGAAGACTTCACATCACAACCCAAAGAAATAATACAAACTAGCTCTGTTTTCTTCTTTGAAGTTATCTGGGGGGTCAGTGGGAGAGACATCCCGATGGGAGCAGAATTTCAGCGCTAAGCGGCTTTTTACTCGGCCTGTGGATCGAACCAGCCTTAACATTACAGACAACCAGGTCTGTGGACAAATGAAAGTGACAGTGCCTGAGCTTACGTTTTGTACTTTCTCTTTTGCAAGGAAAAGCCTGCCAGCCCTCCACATGGCTTCATGTGGGACCAGCATCTGGGGTTGGCTTCATCCGATACACCTGCAGAGGTCATCTGCTGTATCACAGACTCAGTGCCACACAGAGCATGGTGAACTATGAAATGTTTGGTGACCCCATGGCAGATGTTGACATTTCTGAAGTCGGTGGGGAAACTGGAAACTAAAAGCACAGACTAGCTCTGCAGGTTTTACCCCCAACCTGGAGCAGCCCATTATATCTGCAGGCCACAGAAGACAGGGAACATTGCTGTGCTAAAAATCATTCCTTGCTCCTTGTGGTCAATCTTACTCTATCCATCCTTTTCCTCCTCATCTCGCTTGTAGCCTATAATATTCTTCTAACTTCCTTTGTTTTTTTGTTTGTTTGTTTTGCCTTTCCTTTGGTTGTGTAAAGATCCAACAAAATAGTATTCAAGGGAAACATTCAATTAAAGTAAATTGATTGGCTTAGTAGAAACAATACCCCAGCTAATGGACCAATATCTTTAGTTTTCAACCAGGTGTAGGACGTCAAGGAGACATGGCTTGTGTCTCCCTGTCCCCAACTCCGTCTTATTCCGATCTCCATGCTTGATTCCATTCCAGCTCACTTGTTGGTTTCCCCTCCTTCTATCCAGATTGACACCACTTACAGAGCCTTTCCAAAAATGTTGAAGTAAAACTGTGGGGGAGAGATTTTCCCACAATTAAAAAAAAAAAGCAGTTTTCCAAGATCCCGAGAGTACAAGTAATACATTATGTTGAATAACAAATGCTAAAGGCGTCAGGAAAATTATGCAATGACTTTAAGATGGTGGGAACCAAGTGTCTCAGGAGACATCCTTTATCTACTGCATCCAAGAAGAATATGCACAGATGTGCAAGAATTGAAGGGCTAACTAAAACAGTAGCAACAATGTCACACAGAGGGAATGCAACATTTTGAAGGAGGGAGGCTTAATATTCTTTCTATAAATTCCAAAATGTCCTTACGTTCTTCTGTTGATTTGAAACTTGTGTCTTCTTCCTGCTCTTGATGTCCAAGAAAAAAAATACACCACATCTAAATTAAGTAGAGATTCTAGAGTTGAGGTCTTAACTCCTGGAAGACTGAGTGATCTAAGTCTCGCTTTGGGGATTGGGAGGTAGCCTGTACCCAGATTCTAGACAGGCCAAGGCTGCTCGGCTGCCACCAGTCAGAGCACTCATGAGGACAGACCATAAAAAATGACAAGAATTCTTATTATCCTGGTGAGTTGAAATCTGACTCCCTGGACTGGTTGGGGTGGCCCTGAAATGAAGGAGAGGAGAAATTTCCAGCCTCTACAATATAGGAAAGTGTCCTGGAAGGAGGATGGAATAGATTTTGGAGTCTAATTTATCAAATGCAATGAAACTCTCCAATAAAGCAGGGCAAATAGTGAGTGAGAGTGACTGGGAGCTACTTCAGATTGGGTGGTCAGGGTGATATTTTAGAAGAGGAGGCATCTGAGCTGAGGCCTGAAGGATAGTCAGGAGCCAAGCATATGAATGTCTGAGGGAAGGAAGTTTTGGCAGAGGGAAAAGTAGTTGCAAAGGTCCTGATGTGGGAACAATTGTTGGGGAGCAAGAGTTCCCGTCCCTTCAAAGATCCTTCTAGCTGGACTAAGAATCAAATTGACATAAGACAGAGTAATAGGAGAAAATCAAATTTAATAGGTGTACATATGGCAATCCACATAGACATGGAAATTCCAAAGACAGGCAAAATGAGGTCTATATGTCATTCTGAACTAAGGAAAAGGGGGAACGGATCTGGGATTTCAGAGGACAAGAATGCACTTCACAGGGTGGCAAGAAGAGCAGATGTTTGACAATTAAATGTTTGCCCCACCATGCAGATGGGTCACTCAGGTAAAACTTATTTCTGTTAATAATCCTTATTCTGGCAAAGACCCCTCCCCACTGCTGCCAGTTTAGATTCTTCTGTGTAGTTAAGGGAAACAAAAGTTTCTCTTCTGCCCCCAGGGTTTCAAGTGCCTTCAGCTCAAAATAATCCACATGCCAAAATGGCCCATTTGGGGAAGGGGGGGTCCTGTCCCGAACCCCCTCACAATCTTGATGTGTTTAAGGAACAGAAAGATTCCATGTTGCTGGGGTCTCAGAGTGGTGGGCAGAGGCCACATCATATGAGGATCCGTAAGCCTGAACAGGGAGCTTGAATTTTATTTTAGTGCAGTGGTGGATTTAAAAAAGAGAGAGAGAGA